TGTGGAGCATACATCTGGAACTGGGCCCAAGTTATTTTAATGCACGGCTTGAATTTCAGGCGATTCCTGATGAATTGGTCAAAATTCAGGCTGTCGGTGGCCATGCCGGGGCACCACCTGGCTCAAAGTTTTTTAATTTTAAAATTAAATGAGCCGGGGTTGGTCCATATCAATACCAATATAAACTAAGTAGTCTCAAAGTGGACATTTCTATTTGTCTGGAGAATGTATTCAAAACCACAACGATTATAACATTTCTGGCGGTTTCCTGCCCACAGAATAGAATGATACTGCCCAAACAGTAAACACAAATGACTCTAGTTAAGTAAACTGGTTGCTTTTCTTGGCCTTTTATTTTAATACCCAATAGTTAACATTTTGTATAATTTCTGACCAATCCACCTGGAGCCAACTGCTAACCACTAGACAAGTTTCTTCGGCTCAGTAGAAGGGTGTCGCTACTTCTTTAGAAGCCTATTGTCATAAATGGCTTATGTTACAAAAGGACCCTGCCCACCAGCTGAAGGGTCTTTCTTTTGTACCTAAGTTTGGAATACCCTTTAGACGCCCGCAGAATGGCTTCTTCCCATTGCTTATAGGCGACTCAAGTTGTTAACAGAAACATCTGCAATTAACTTTGAACGGGAGTTGTTTGAGTTTTGGTGGCATCCTTTGATAAAGCCATCACTGGGGATAGGCATGTCCCGGCCTGAACAAAGCTCTGTTCTGCATCGAGGAAAGCAAACATTCTGTTAAATTGTGAGCTCAGATGTCTTTGTTGCCTGCTAGTATCTCTTTGCTCTCCAGTGAATTATTGCCTATTGTGATGATGCCACCTGGCATGCCTGGGAAAAGTGCGAATCATCTGATCCATCCACGTGGAACGTAAGGCGGCTAAAAACAACCTTATGGGCAAATCAGCAAAACTAGATTATACAGACGGCAGCGTTAAATCAGAACCTGCATCTTCCCTACTGGCTGTCATTACCATCGCCGCTCTGCCGTAATATTCTCTGTATAATGCAGGGGAATATGGAGCTCACGTTAATGAGGCGTATTAATAATTATTCAATTGTGCTTAATGTAATGTGTAATTAAAAATGTGGGGAGAGCCTGAGCCGTGGTGATCTGTGTCGTGATTTTTAATTTAGTATTCGGTGCGTGTTTTATCGCTCCAGCATGGTGCGTTGCCTGAGGTAGGCCATTTTATTATGTATATTATTTGTAGTAGGACCACAGATGTCATACTTTTGATTATAGTAGATGTTCCCAAAGCTTTGCACTGGTTGTGCCAACTCTGCACCCCACCATTGCCCATGTAGCTTTTGCCAACTCGATGCCCCACAATTTCCAATGTAGCCTGTGTTCGCTTTATGTCCCACCAGACCTATGGCCCCACCATGATGATTATTCCATATTCTAGTCTGTCTAGTGCCTTTTTTACATCGGTTTTGTTACATTTTCAGTTTAGCAATTTTATTGTCTGCTATTTAATTGCCACTTAGGTTGTATTATTGTAAGAGAGTGTCTAACAGTCCAATCCAGTCAGAGTGATGATGCATGTAGTAATTTGCTTTTGTCTAGGGGCCTGCCTACTGTCACTGCCAGAACTGAGTTTAAGATAACCTTTGACCCCAAGTGTCCCTGTGTGCAGTGATTGACATGATGAAGAGACTTCCCAGCAGGTTGTCCTTTATAAGAAAACATCAAATGTGAAATAAATGAGTGCGTTATGGCTTAGCTAAATATGTGCACGTCAAAATACATTCCAAAAATTTCATACAAATGTATAAACCCCCCACGTAAGGATGCAAAGTCAATTGAGTTGTTACACGTGAGCCAATTGTCTGAAGTCTTTCATCTGACTGCACATGGCTCCGTGCCTCGCAGCTTTGCTTCGCAGGTAGTGTTTCACGGACTTTAATTAGGGCACCCGGCACAACTCTATTATCAATCAGACTGCACACACACATTAGAATAAGAATGTATGTATGGGCAATGACATGGGAACAGACCACTCCCCTGTCTTCACTAGTAGTCACTGCACAACACTGGAAAAGGTTCACAGGCTTAATTGTCACTTAATAAAATTAAAAGTATCACACCAATAACATATTTCTAATAGCAGAGAGAGCAAGCATTGCAGTGATCTCTCTGCTTTTGCAGAAATCGAAGAGCCATGAGACTCTGAGCTATGGAGAGGGTCAGATATAGCAAAGCAGAAATGAATGGTGCTTGCTGTGATCGGAAGGGGAAGGCTAACAAAAACGACATGCAATAAGGTGATGAGAAGACTTGTACAGCCGCGGGCATGCTTCTCTGTCTCATCAGCTGTCCTATGTTACATTCCAAGCAGCACTAAATAACTCTACATTGACCGGCTAGAGCTCCAGAAAACTTTCTAGTTTAGAGAAGGGGAAGGAGTCCTTCCTGCAGAACACTTCCTGGAAGTCAGTCTGTGCCACTTTATCTCCTTGTCTGTGCTACTTAGATACACCAATACATAGTCTGTCCCCAGATACGCCAATACATAGTCTGTCCCCAGCTGTATGTCTACTAGTAACCGTCTGTGGGCAAATACATGGCCGGGCAGAGCCAAGGTTATGATGGCTTCTTTGAATATAGTATTGCTGCTTCTCAGGCAGTGCTGACTAGTGACGTGGGCGTTTAAGGGAACCGAATCACAATGCTTATAGAGTCAACTCAGGTGACTGGTCGTCTGTACTGGAAATGGGTTCTCTGTCTTTCTGTGAAGGGTGAATTCTTCTGAAGTGTAATGCATACTGAAACAAGCTACATAGATAAAGCTGCATTATTTCAGCAAGATGACACGAGAGCGACATTTCAGGATGTGTTTATCTTCAAACAAAGCACTGCCTACCTGCAATACGTCTGTCCATTAGGAGCATTTGGCTAGTGAGAGTGCTTTGATTGGACAACAAAGTGGCGGGTCTTGAGAACTCATGCCCTTGGTAACGAGATCAAATCAGTTTCAGAGATGTACACATCATAGTAGGGGTCTGACATCTAGACAGGATGTTTAAAAGTGTAACAGATCTAATAAGTTCACTTGAACTTCTCGGTCCTAAGAATATATTTGTGAGATCTGTAGGAAAATCTCTCCTTCATGCACATTTGTATTCAGTTAGGCAACGAGCAGTGAATGCATAATCCATAGTAATGCGAACATGCTGTCCTCTAAAAACCTTCTGAGCTGAGGTGGGTAAATATTGGCTCCATGCATTCTGCAAAAAGGCAGCAGAAAATGAAGCTGGGGCCTGCAAAAGCCATGCCATGTCCACATTACTGGGCATCACTGGTGACTTAGCTGGCTCCACTATCCTGCTTGCTGGTGTATGGGCACTCTGATACCACTGACACTGTTACAGATTCAAAGAAGGTACGAAGTTATTTAAAATAAAAAAAGGCCAAACCATGTAATCTGCTTGGCTTGGTAAAATGAAATGTGTACTTGTTTCTGGAGTCGGGCTTTGTCCACTTTACCATGCTATTCACCTTGGCATTACCCAACACATCATGCAGGGCTCCCTTGTACCATGGACATGAGATGACACCGATCTTTTCAATGCTCAACTCTTGCAATGCGCAGGAAGGATGACACCTGAAACACATCTGTGTTCATGTTTTCCATGGCTTCTCTATTCACAGATATTTTAATTGATCATAATTAAAGGTTTAGCTCGAGGGTTTCCACTTGAGATTACCCTACCGGCATTTGGGATTTCTGAGCTTTCTTCATCTGTCCTTGGAAACCTGTTGCTTCTTAATTGGTGTCAAATGCCAGACTGTACTTCCAATATACATTAGAAATCAGTGGAATTTGACATCGGAAGAAATGCAAGTAGCCTTTTAAAGCGCTGGTAGCCCTGAAACTGCTCAGCAGCGTTAGTATTAGCTGCTAATTATAGGGGGAAACACAATGATAGTAAAAAGCTCTTTACATAGCCTGCAGGCCCTTGCCGTCTCTGAATTCACTACCTTGCTTTTCTTCTCTGACCAAGAACAAGCTTGCAGCATATCATGATGTAAACCTGTCCTCCAAAAGTGAGGAATTATCTTCTGGGGGGAAATATAATCTTGAGTGTCTTAGCAGCAATCTGAAGTTCACCTTGTCTTGAATTCCTGCTGACAAATGGTGCACATCCTCTTCCGTGGTGGTCTGTTCATTTTGTTCCTTAATTGCTGCAGAGATAATAGATCATCCCAGGCTCCGTTACTGCTAGTCTCACAAGATATGGTGATGTCAGTACTGTGCTAAGACCTGGAGAGCCAGCTGTACCTGAGGACCTGCCGCGCAAGCATCTCCCTGCTTCTTCATCCATTCTGTGGATCTGGGCTTTTATGGCTTCTTAAATATTCCCCTACCAGGGGGTGGCTCTGACATATGAAAGCAAAGCTCTGCTTCTCTACCAAGCTGGCCACCTCCATACGTAGACATGTGCAGAACATGGTATGGTAAGTCGGTAATGTGGAAAAGATCCGCTTGAGGAGGCCTACAGCCAATACTAGTGTCTAGTCCTTTGCCCTCTGCTTACCGTATGCGGCTCGGCTTCCAAAGTACAGGTACTCCTAAAGGAAAAATGTTCATAATGTGTTATCCATGTGGGGTGGGGGACAGGATCTATATTTTAGGTCTTCAAAATGTAATCATTACCCACCATTGGACTACAGCATGCTGATTTTGGTTTTCACGCCATCATTGCTCTTTGCTTTCTTGCATAAAACCCAACAGGGTCAACAACACTTCTTCTTGCTCCTGGTTGACAAAGCTTGCTTGGTCCTGCGGGCTCAGCATGCACTCCATAATGTATATTGCATTGTATTACTGCTTTTTTCTCTCAGCAGCCCCGGACGTGTCAGGTACAGCAGCGTATTGTTAAGACTTTTGTATGGACAACTGTGATGTTTGGTTTCTCTGTGTCTCTGATCTGACCTTCTCTCCCACGTTACTGACACAGGTTTATTTTCTCTCCCTTTAGAGAGTTTTGAGGTGACAGTCACCAAAGAAGGTGATAACGGGTTCTTTCTCTCCTCTTATGAATTATTAACCCACTAACTTTTGGTTCTGAAAACAAAAAAATGGGGAATCAGCACTTGGCTCCTTCAGCGCCATACAGCCTGCTGCAGAGCGTTACTCGCCAGTACTGGCGCTGAAAGGGTTAAATAGAAGATACACTGATCCCTTTTTATATAATCTTCTGTTTTTTAATTTCATTTTTTTCATTTGGACCATTTTTAATTTCTAATTCCAAATGAATTGTTATGTGATGGAAATCCCCATGTTTATTAGAAATATCTAGCGATCAGACATCCGTTTCAGGACACTGATTGGATCAGCTAGGCCGAGGTATGTTCGCTTAGATTGCAGGCTAGTCCATAGTGCCATTGTTTCTGGGATACTTTGTAGCACAGCCTGGCCCGTTGTGATGATTTTCCAGTGTTTTGGAATGAATGGAAATACATGCCAGTCAAAGTTGTATTGTGTTATTTATCCCTTCCTTTTATCTGTGCTGCCGGCTGTAACCAATCCCATTCCAGCTTTTCATTTCCTGTTGTTTTTTGCAAAATGAAACATAAATTGGTTGCTGCAGTCAACACAGACACTTTATAGGGTTCCCGGGAAGGACAGGTGCTGTGTGTGATTGTACATGATTGTATATGGAAGGATGCGGCCGTACGGTCACCCGAGCTGCACATCCCTGCAGGATGGATCCTGTCTCGGGTGGGCGTACGGCCGGGTCCTCCCATAGAGAAGAACAGGCTGCTGCGTACAATCACACACAGCACCTGTCCTTCCCCGGAACGCCCCGATACGGCTTTGCATGCCGGCAGTATATGCCAGAATTGGAGACCATGACCCAATGCATACTTAATTTGGGAAGGTCTGCCTGTTAATTGATATGTCCTTAGGTGGATATGGCTTCAAAAAGCTACAAAATTAATTTTTGAAGGTTCAGTGTGCACTTTTTAAAGTTAAAGGAGAACTATGAGGTAAGTGAATCACTCAGCCTCATAGTTCTAGCCGACTATGAAACTGTCACAGGTCGGCTAAATAGATCGGGAAGTGAGCGAATGCATACCGTCGCTTGCTCACTTCTTGATCCTGTCCCTGCAGAGAGCCGTGACTGTCGCTCGTGGCTCCCTGCAGGGATTCCCCCCC